GGGGGGGAGGAGGGTAATGCTTTTTCTCTTCCATGTCCCTTTTTTGGGTGCCATGTCAATAATTCCAGGCCATCATTGACTACGAGAATGGGAGTGAGCAGAGATACACTGATACTTCAACATTAACATGGAGCAATAAGAAAATAATACAAATAACAATGATAAGATATATGTGTCTGTGTTTGATTATTTAATTTATAAGTACCCCTCCCCATACACACAAACCCCTTTCCCGCTACCCTCGTAAAAAGATCGAATTGACTGGATATCATGATTTACTGCGCCACGGGCTCCTCTAGTTCGAGAGCCTACCTTGATACAAAAAATAAGCTTACTCGAGTTTAGTTTGAGAAAAGAGAGACACATTGACGAGATAACGGAGGTGAATAGGCGCAGGCAATACTGCCGTGCCAAGGCAGACCTACTATACCCATTCTGCATCTTGTGTCAAGGGTAGGAAGACGTATCTGCACTACAAATAGGATATTTCACTGTGGCAAACAGACGTAACTGAAGGGCCATGCCCATATTTCCAATGGCAGCGCGACGTAACTCAAAATCATAAAAAGGGCAGATACGCCGCTCTGCCTTGGCAAGGCAGAATAGCGAGACAACCAGATACCGCAGAGGGAAAGAAAAATAAGTTGAACCTGCTGCTGTGGTACCAACCAACCATCCGCCTACTTATCTGGCACAGTTCAATCAATATAAGACGAGTTATAAATTGGAATGCACGCCTTCTATATGACCTTCGTTTCGTAAAGAAACATATAATAACTTATTCCACAATATAAAAACAACAGTCGACCTTCCATCTCCTTCGTTTAGTGATCTCCATTGATACCCACAAGGCTGACGGGGGTGACCTTCGATGCTAACACACAGGCTCGCATCCAGTAATTGCGTCTTGAAATTCAAGAACTGCGAGACATCCTCGTTCCGAGACAATGTGACTCCCTGTGGCTCTGATGTAGACAACTTGTTATTAAAGACATGATTGAGAACGCACTTCTCCACTCGAGCCTATTGTCTTCTCATTCTTGCACGAAGTCTAGTTATGTCTTTGGCTGCGCCTGGATTTTCCTTTCTTGAGCTGATTGTCTGTCTATGAGAATCACAGGAAGTGAGAGGAAGGATTGGGGAGAGAGAAAGACACAGACAGACAGACAAACAGACAGACAGACGGACAGACAGACAAACAGACTGAGAAAGATAAAAAGGGAGGGGGGATGCTAGTTCTTTTCATGAACACAGACGAGTACAAGTGTGAAAATGTGTGTATTTGTGGTTGTTTGTGCGTGACGTTGTGCGTGTGAGTGCGTGTGTGTGTGTGTGTGTGTGTGTGTGTGTGTGTGTGTGTGTGTGTTTGTTAGTGTGTGTGTGTGTGTGTGATGTTGTGCGCACGCGCAAGTGTGAATGTGATACGTGTTTATAATATGCTTTATACAACTCAAGTGGTTTGCCGTTGAAAATGATATCGGTAGCAAGTTTTGTGTTTCGCGGCCCCTAATAAAACCTTCATGAACTCAATTTTAACGTAACTTCTTCATTTAATTTTTTTTTTTTTTTGGTTCCAGGTGCTGATCGTAACCATCTCGACCATCCTGAACCCACCCACTGTGGCGCACTGCATGCCGGTCCGGACCGAAAAGCACGTGACCAGATACTGCGACATGCCGCTGTCCGGCTTCCTCTCTTCACTCGCCTTTAACCTCGTTCTCGTCCTCGTCTGCACCTGGTACGCCTTCAAAACGAGGCGACTCCCGGACAACTACAACGAGTCGCGGTACATCGCCTTCTGTGTCGATACGACCGTTCTCATCTGGGTCTCTTTCATTCCGACGTACTTCACCATCACTAGGCCTTACTATAAGGTGTTCATCCTAGCCTTGGCGCTGCTCATCAACTCTATAGTGTGCCACCTGTGCTTGTTCGTGCCCAAACTCTACACCCTGTATCTGACCAAACGCAAAGAAGGGTCGACGTCTCGCTCAGTCGAAGAGAGGTCAGAACTCAATATTCAGTTGGCCAGCAACACAAGTTTCTCTGGAATTTTCCGCTCCACCACTGGAGGGCCTTTGGGTGGGTACAAAGACAAAAGCAGCACTGTTGCTCATTCGCAAACCTCTAATCAAAAACTTGGCCCGGACGGGAGGATCCATGAAAACGGAGGAGCAAGCCAGGAAGTGCATTTGTTAACATTACCAGAAGATATCGTTATTCAAAGTGAGACTAATCTATCGGTATCTTCCTCTGAACAATCAGACTCCATCTCATGATTGACATAGGGCCACGATTTAACTTGACAGTGATCGCCCTCCTGCCATTCTCTGATGAGCAACTACTTTTGCCTACCTTCAGAGCAATGAAGCATTATGTCTTCTGGCCAGTTCACTGCCGAAGAGCTGGGTCTGTGGTCACTGTAGAACCAAAACCGTGCCAGGCAGGCCCTATTGCATGTGTTGCGAGAGACACCAGAGCTTGGCTTACAGTGAGCTCTTTCTACCTCTTCCCTCACAATTATCATCGTGTCTCCTCTTCGGTTCACTTCCCGCAGCCTTGACACTTGACCTCGACTTTGAGAGTTCATAAGCCATGATTTCATTTTACAGATTCCAAAGATTTTGATATCGTGGGGGTGGTGTCAGCTCAGCTGGTGTCGTATTGCGACGCGGGCAACCCTTTGTTTAAATCCCACTGCTTGGAGAGTTTCAAAGCTCTCCACACTCTTGAATCGTTTGAACGATGGTTTTAGTGGTCTCGGCTCTCATATAACCTATCTGTGTTGAAAGCGGTATGAATGTATTACCATAACGTACCAGCATACAATGTCTCACGCCACGCCTGCTCCTACCCTTCTGACGCAGCGCAAGCCTTATTAAAAACGTGAAAATATTTATGGAATTTTCATTCAAACAATTCTCGTTGTCTTGTCGCATGACACGATTCCGACATGGCCCAGTTCGCTGATTAACCCCTCGTCAAAACATTATTTAATGCACCACCGACACCATATCACTGTCATGTGCTGTCTGGCCAAAATTATTTTCAGATTAAGAACATGCGTGACATCACATTACCGATGTTTTGAACATGTGCAATCACTTAAATGTCGATTCGGAGAAGCAGACTAAACTGTGGATCACACAGAGCTCTAAGACATGCAACATGCAGGAGAAGATGCTCAGGACAACGTAAGGACTTAGCAGGACGGTTCAGTTAATAATAGGTATTTGTCTGCGAGTATGATGCGATCCTGAAGAAGAAGAAGAAGAAGAAGAAGAAGAAGAAGAAGAAGAAGAAGAAGAAGAAGGAGAAGAAGAAGAAGAAGGAGAAGAAGAAGAAGAAGAAGAAGAAGAAGAAGAAGAAGAAGAATCTAACAAATCGTTTCAATTTTTCCAGATGTTGAGCATAATAATGTGCTTTATTAAGCCCGGGTCTACCATTTTCCAAAGGTGATCGTGCTGAGCCTGTTTTCTCGGTAAAGTCTTGATCGACTGTACGCGTTTTAAGTTGCCTTTAGCACTCTTTAGTTCGTTTAGAAGGCAGGCTGTTTCTACCCTGCCACTCAAGACCAACCTGGACTACCTTGGAATTTCAAATTCCAACATCGAAATGTAGATATTCCATAACACACCTCCCGTCGTGCAGGAGCCCACGAGTTCTGTACAAGATAAAGTGTATCTCGTTGTCTTTTTTCCCGGTCGTTGTGTCCCTCTCAGCCTGTGTGGGCTCTGAGAGGCAGGGGCAAAGCCCGCCTCCAAAACAATCTAGACTGTGTTGGTGGGGGAAGTTAAAAAAAAGAAATAAGTTAACCTGTACAGCACAGAAGCTGGTCATGTTATGGTGTTGCACAGCATTGACATTACTTTCTTCTGGGAAGTGGTCTGAGAAGGGGGGAGAGGTGTACAGATCGATGCATGCTTGGGTCAACTTGAGCATTTTGGAAAGAGGTATAGCATCCTGGCAGACGGAGATTGTCAGTTGGAAAATTTTCCCTCTACGAGAAATAAACTCATCACTTCCACGAGCATGATGAAGAGCCAGGCCAACGCGTCGCAGACGTCGATCTAACTGTAATTGTAAATGTTTTAAGCCACCATCGACATTATTTAGACATTTCATGGACTGGCTGCTTCGACCCCGCCTGTCCGGCTGGCTGAAAGAGTTACAGAAAACAGTCGCTGATACTCGACAAACAAAGACCTCAACACACTGAAATTGAACTCTCAACGTCGGGATGTGCGATGATGAAGAGCCTAACAGCTACACCACAAACGCTGGAGGCACCGATCGTCCCTAAATAAAATGTCCTGTGGGTGATGTGTGACAGAGTGCGCGTCATTTAATCCGTTTTATATCACGCTGTTGTTTTTTGTTGCTTCTGTCTATTGTTGTTGTTATCAACTATGATGTTATGATGAAACAAGGCCGCAAAAAGCAGAACAAATAAATTGTTGTGGCTTGCTCAAAAAGAAGAAAGAACTAGGGCTATGTACCATTCCCTTTTCATGGATGACGATATGTATTCGAATCCATAATTGTTGTGATTATCCCCAAAAGTGTTCGTACAACTGTGTGGAAGGTTGGATTTTATTAGTATAATGATAATAATAATAATAATAGTAATAATAACAATAATAATAAAGTAAGTTCAGCAACGTCCTTCAATGTATAATAAATATTTACAAAGACGGGCCCCCCACTGTTGGATCGTGATTGTTTTTTTGTTTGGGATTTTTTTTAGGGGGCAGGGGGGGGGGGGTATTTGGCTTGAACAGACCATCAGTCGAAAGGAAAGAGATATGGACCGAAGACGTAGTAAGTAGGAACGAAAAGGTAGAAGAAAGGGGGGGGGGGGGTGACCCGTGAGTGAATAAAACCCAATGGTCTGAACGGGGACGGCAGATTTTTTCTTGCTTCCTTACAGTGGACTAATTCCAGAGATTCCCATTCATTTAAATTCAAATTTAACAACGGAACATGTGTGGAAGCAGACCAAAGCTATTTTTAAGGTTAGGCAAGTCAGAAGCCCAGACGCCCGGTGTACAAAGAGCCAAAATTAATCTACCGGGTATATTCGTATAAATTGTAAGCCTACCACTGACGAGTTTCCATCAATCCCTTTAACGATCAAATTCCGTGTAACAAAGATTCCAAACAAGTTTTTTATCAGTCGAAGTTTCTATGCATATTCTATGCCAACTATTTTTTTGCCCAACATTTGCATGAAAAAATTACAGGATCAAGAAACCGATAAATTTCTTACAAATGAAGATATTCCTTTTTATAAGTATTAAACAACAGCGTTCCACATTTCAAAGCTGAATCATGATTAGAATTTTGAAATAACCCCTCAAAAACGGTGGCATGCAATTTCCATAAGTTATTCAGTTTGTAAATGTCGTCAATAAAACACAAACTTTCTTTTTTTCAAATATATATTATATATTGAGGGGATGGGATGGGCATTCAGATCCATATCCCAACAAAGGCAGTCTATTTCCATGAATAGAGCGTGTTTGCCACCAGAACAATACTGAGCTTTTTCCGAAAAATCAGAAATAAAAAGACGATTGACCGCATCCTGGCCAACTTCCTGTCTGATAAAATAACTCTGGATAAAACTTGGGAATCTTTAGCTCACTACGGGACAATGGTTTCTGTATAAACGGGAATACGGCAAGCAGACCATAGGCACGAGGTACAGTTTGGCCTATGTCTTGACTCTGTTTCAGAGATTCAATTCACTGTCAAACTAGAGAAACAAAAGCCGCAAGAAAGTTCCCAACCACATAGGAAAGTGCGTAAACGAGTATCCCAAGACGTTTTGATACTGTCCCTTACAATCTTAATGTAGTTGTTTATTCGCCCCAAACTACACAATTTAGATCCTTTAGGTTAGGAGATAGGCGTCTACCCTACAAAATTATCAAGGCAAACTCGATGTGGGTCTACGTCCCAGAAGTTGCTTGATAAAAAGTCTCACTACATGAGGAGAATCAAACTCGAGTCTCCTGCGTGCGACTGCGAAGTGCCTAACCGCAACACTACCTACGCCACAACTGCTTTCTCGACTTTTTTTTCCTATCAATGTTTAGGATGGGTTTACAGCTTGGCCCCCTTTTCCCTTTTTAGAACTTAGTTTCCTTGAAATCTATTTAATTTTTTAGATGAATCGGACATGTATGAGATTGATTATTTAATATGTAAGACGCTTTATTTTAAGCCTGTATTTCACTTCTGTGTACTTTTTAAAAGAATGAATTTGTGCCTAAGTTACTTTTGTTGCAAAGATGAAGCCTTGACTTTGTGAGTAAGAGATTATAGAAATTGGGCGCGTGTACGTACATGTGTGTGCGTGTGTGTACGTGAGTGTGTGTGTATGTGTGTGTGTGTGTGTGTGTGTGTGTGTGTGTGTGTGT